GTGCATTTTCTATTAATTGCATTTATTATTCTTATATTGAAAAGGTATCAAGTTATCTATGACCTCCATAATGAATGAAGTATTTACCGACTTTTATATATATTAAGGAATTGAATCAATTTTTCACAAAGTTTAAAATCTCATCTCATTCCAAAAAAAAGTTATTTCATAAAATTATGCAAAAAAGTAATTTAATATATATTTTTTTATAATGAATGCTTCTAGTAATGAAACAAACGCTTTCAAACTTTATTTTAAAAATATTGATTATTTCGTTTACAAGAAACTATTACTTTAAAGCGTGATAACATTTTTGAATACTCTATTTTTTTTCTAGTAAATAATATGTCTTTGTTAATTTCTAAAAAAATAATCTTTATAAAAAAGCTTACATTATTCTTTTATAGAGAATATTGATTTCATAGAAAATATCACTAAAATAAAACAGGTTATGTTTTCTTACAATAAAAGTTAAATAGAATTAATTCTTCAAAATAGCGTTTCAATAAAACATAGTATTAAAATGTTACGTTATTTTTTGTGATTGGTTCATTAATAAATTATTTTTATTTCTTCGCAAACACAATTCTTGTAAAAAAAATTAAAAAATTGAATCTGTTTTATCAAAAAACTAGATCGTTTTATAAAATATAAATTATAGCGCTTAATAAAATATGAATACAGTGTATTTGTAAAGTGATCCTGACAATAAAAAGGTGTTATTTTCTTTTTTATTTTCTCTGCTAAAAGGAATTAATGAGTTATTTTTATTCATAATGGCTAGTCGAGGAGAAGAAGAAAATATCGAATTACACTGCTTAGGTTAATGTAATTTCGTTCTCCCACCACATTTACGCGTAATCCATCGCCAACTCCACCTGCAATCGCCACGTTTACAATCTACGGTATGTTTTGTCAATACGCGTGCGGTAGACTGCCACGGCGACAAGTTGAAAATTTTTTCCGCATATCCATATTTGGGGATGTCGGGAACCTAATTAACCTTAACACTAGATTGTCCGAGGAAGTCATTTTGACTGCTTTTTAATTTCAATTAGAAACACAATTTTGTGACTTTTTGTACAACATATAATTTTTTATTGTTAATATTTACTAATAACTTGTTATATAAGTGAAAATAATATTAAAAATTAATTTTAAACAAATTTCATTATGCATTAGTTATTCTTTCACAATGCAGTCATTTTGACTGCTTTTGGGCAATATAGGTATTTTAGTCGTTCTAGTGTTAATCATCATATCATGTAATTTTTCTACTTATTGAGAACGCATAAAAGGGTGAGATGTATCGATATGTAATTCATTTAGTCAGTTTTCCGATATTGTTCTTATTTCGGGAAATAAAAACTTACCTCGTATAGCTTGTCCCTGTATTGCTCAACAGACAATTTTGTATCGTCACACAAAGGAGGTATCGCATTGCTGAGTTCTCTTGGCGTTGTCTGAGAATGATACCTATTAAAATCAACAAGGCTTACTTTCACAAATAGTTATTTCGAAATCAACAAAATCTCAATCGAAGTACTTTTTAAAATCGATTTTTGCTTACATTATTTTAATTAACACTCATGAAATTTATACATGAATTAATAATTAATTTATGAAACATAATTCATATAGTTGAATAGATATTTTAGTATTGATTTACCTTGAAATATAAGGGTGCTCTAACCCATCTTTAGCTGTTAGGCGCCGATTTGGATTTAATGTTAAAAGCTTTGAGAGCAAGTCTTGAGCGTCGTTTGTACAACCCAGAAGTATATTTCTTAGAAGTCTTTTTGGTCTATAAAGAAAAAAATAAAATGAAGCATTCATTTTATTTTATTAAATAGTTCAAATGAAAATGGCAATAAGAGGTTTTATTATTACTTGTTGGCAGCTCGTCCTAAAACAAAGGCTGCGTAACCTGTACAAAGACTGTCTATGTCTGAAACAAAACGCAAGTTAATTATATTGAATTAAAGATAATTAAGTAATGATATCAATGAATAATATAATTAAAAGAATTAGATCTCTTTGTGTCGTGTGGAAAAAAAGGTTTGTAAAAAATGCATACATACTGCATCAAAGCTGCTTTTCACCCCTGCTGATTGGATAATTTATAAACTAAAAAATTACAATTTACTGGTTTATGAACAACAAAATATCAACTGGCGATGGCAACTGTTCGGGGAGAAAAAAAAAGCATTTTTGCTGAATTCTAAAAAAATATCTTAAAGCAAAGTTGTAAACTCGACTTGATTCACTGGTTCGTTAAATGCTGTATCAGCTAGTTTGAAAATTTTAGTTTTGTGAAATTGCTTGAAAGCATTGAATGTCCATTCCTAGCATGCTCTTACCAATATTCTTTCAAACTATTAGCTTTTTTTATTTAAAAAAAGAGAAAAGAAAAATGTTACGTATGAAAAATACTTATTAACTTATTTCTTGTTAATAATTGTCTTGCCTGAATTGTTAATTGAAAATTTTTTTAATAGGTTACAAGTAGTAATCTTTTCATGTTTGCTTGAAAGTTTGACTGTGATATTTTGATAAGCATTGAAATTAGGTATATTGTCTAAGTTATTTCTTATTAACCAATTTCAAGCATTAAATGCGTTTGAAGAATTGCCGCTTCTTTTTTTCGTATTCTAATGTATCCCCAAAATGAGATTTTTTTCAGAAAAAAAAAATTTGGTTTGGGGGAATAGTTTAAAAATTTGTATTGTCACCACACTGATGCTTTCAACTAAAGCTACTCCTCCGTATTCGCTTCGTCATCGTTAACTCTTTAACGCAGAATTTTTATGAAACATATTTTTCCAACTTTTTTCCTTATTTTGGTTAAAATAAATTTAGGTTAAAATGATGAATTTTGAATTTAGGTTAAAATAAATGAAAAATATTGTGTTTAACTTTTTTATAATTTATGCTTATGAAATACAGAATGAAACACAGAAAACTTTTTCTGCGTTAAAGGTAAAATCTTCCAAATGCTGCTCACTTCCAAAAAATAATTTTTCAAATTTGCACTTTTTTGCAGTTATTTAGATCTAAGAGAAACAGTTATTCATCATTAATATTTCTTTAATTTACGAGTCAATTATTACGAAATTTTTGAACATGAAGAAAAAACTTACTATCAAACTTTTTTAATTTTATATTTTAGTACAAAAATAATAGCATAAATATAATTTAGTACAAGTATAATTCGATAATCTAAATTTTTTTTTAATAAGTATTAGACTTTTTCATAATTAAAAAAAATACAAAAATATATTTTTACTTGTAATTAGATCGTAGGGAAAAAATAGGAAAGAGACACCGGTGACCCATATGCGTTAAATCTGTAATGTCTTAAAACTGATTAACCATTTTATAGAAAAGGAGATAAGTTTTATTTATTTTTCACAAGTGTTACAAAACTGTCGAAAGTTAATATAGTTTTTCAGTTCTTATAAAACAAGGCATTATAAATAAATCAAGGAAAAAAATGTATAGAAAAGTAAGCAAGGAAAATAACCTAAATGAGCGAGCTCTCAATTAAATTATCTACAAGAAAGAAAAAAAAAATTTGTATTTTAAAATATTTAAGAAATAGAGATTTTTAAGATCGGGAGACTAAATTGTTTTTAGGCTAGAACCAATTTTTCAACTGTGCACTTCGTAATATTTTCCTTTCTTCCGTTTCATATTGCCTCAAAAGAAAACAAATGCCCTAGTTGATTTTTGAAAAAAATGAACTTAGGATTCTAATATAATATAGGATACAATAACTAACCTGATTGCATAGGATGAGGTAGTGCAGCCATGATCCTTTCTACTTGATTCAGAGTGGAAGTACCTGGAAAGAGGGGTTTTCCGCTGATCACCTCCCCCATGATGCAGCCCACACTCCAAATATCCACCCCCTTCGTATACCTGGGAAAAAATGGACAATGAATGCCATACTTACTATCTATGTTATATAAACGCATATCTGGCTAAAAAAGTGGTATAATTTCTTTTTCATACTGGTACAAAGAACTGAAATATCAAGTGAGTGGGCAGACATGAGAATGAAACATAAAACATCTAATGAAAACGATATCTACTAAAGAAAACATCATCGTATTATTTAATTCAGTTTATTTGAATCCTATTGTATCTTCAAACTGATTTAAAATTTATTCTTGTGTATGTACAGTGCGCAAAAAAAATATATATATATATATAATAAATACATAAATAACCGAAACACCTTGAATAACTTTTGATCAAATGATCGGATTTTTAAATACTGAGACTCAATCTTAATGGTTTAAGGGGGTGACCTCACATATACTAATTAGTAAGAGCAGACGTTATTTTTCGTTACGAAATCAGATACAAAAACGTACTTTCTTTGAATAAACATACCTTTTTGCGATGGATTTGGATTTCTTCTCAAAATATAGAGAGTGGTTGCAATCTGGGAAATATGGTCACAATAGTTTGGTCAGGAGTGCAGTTCAAAGTTTGGACCTCTTAATGTTCATTTTATTTCTAAAGAATTTCGCCACATTTCGAGAACGTTTTAAGAGAATTGAACAATTTTTACCCTAAACTATTAGATTTGTTTATAGAAAGATAATATCTCGTAAAACATAATTTTTAATATTTATTTATTATTTTTAATATATATTTAGAATTTTGTAGAGAGAAACGTTTCAAGAATTATATGTTTTTAACTTCAGTCTTCAAAAAATAAATGGAATTGGAGCCTCTTAGTTGTTCGTAATTTCATTATTTTACTGTTGTACGAAAAAGAATACATTCTTATTTTAAAGCATTTAATTGCGTATTTTACCATACGTCAATATTAGTTTAATTATTATTACTTTAAGTTTCATTATTATTATTTTAAATTATCGCATCGGAGAATTCTGCAATGTTACTGTTTTTAATAACTTCCGTACCTCAAAAGTAACATTTATTTCTATGAATTGTATTGGATTTCTCCTTAATTTCCTTTTTTTCCCCTTTCTTTTTTTTATTCTTTTTTGCATCACTTGCTAGTTTAGAGTAATTTTCATTTTTAAAAAATAAGGTTTAGATCTATATCTTTTATTTTAATTATACTGTTTGCTGATTAAAACGAAAATATTTTAAAAGTCACTTAAAAAATAATTAGTACCCAAATTATATTTAATTTAAAAGTGAATAATTGAGAATGATTAGCTCGTGCATTTTCACATCATGCACCATTCGTGAATTATTTTCGCTTTTGAAAATACTGTTTTAGGCATACTTTGTATACCGTCAGTAGATTGATTACAATCGAGTACGAGATGATGTCAGTTTGTTGTTATCTTGCCAGCAATGTTTGATTTTTTAACCAATTTTACTTTAAGAATTAGTGTGTGCATGCATCCTAAACTAACATTACTGACTCTTATGTGTATCGCATTCTATTGTTATTACACCAGCAGTGGTGTAAAGAAACAATCCTGGTGTTTTATGATACCAAGAATTGTTTTTGATATTTGATTATACATAGTAAAATTGCAGCTGCAACAATTCTAAGTGTTCTGACAAACAGAAATTGTTTTACAGTGCATGTAGCCACATTTTTTGTTTACGTTTCACTATTATAGTTTATTTAATTTATTGATTCATTTTGTTTGTGCTTGGTTATGGGCAACACATATTTTCATAAGCGTTAGAATCAATTTAATAGCTTCATTGCAAAAAAAAAAGCAAAAAAAAATCTGTTTAAAAACCAATCCGTTTAAAAACCAAGAACATTTTTAGAAATATATTCGCTCTAAATTTGACCAACAATTGTTAATTTGTCAATTTTATGAAATTTTTTGAGCGATACCTATAGTTTTGTACTTAAAAATGTAATAGTAAATGTACTGTAATAATTTGTAACAGTTTTGTATTTTAGTTACAAATTTGAATACCGAACTATAGTCATCAGGTAAAAAAATTACAATTGAAAAAATAACTATTGCTTGAAAGAACTAGTGCAAATATGTTACTAAAAATGCTCTTGCTTTTTTTTAAACAAAATCCTCTTCCAATAAAATTTCTAAATGGATTTCATGTGCATGAAAATATGTGTTATCAATAAGTCAACACACAAAAAATGAATAAATAAATAAATAAACTGTATCAGAGAAAAAATAAATAAAAAATACTACTACATGCACTGCTAATTTTTGTTTCGTTTATCTTAGCACCAAATATGGTGGATACTACTTTTTTCTACAGTGTACCGAAAATTATTTCTGGTGTTTCACAACACCACTTTCGGAGTAAAATAGTTACCACCATTTTTGGTGTTAAAATACACTAACATTTTTAACAGTGTGCTGATACTTCTGACCTCCGCTTGATCACCAGCATTGATGGTGAATCTTATGTTTACTCAATAATGTCCAGCGTCCCTTTTCAAAGACTACTCTAAAAATACATAATAGGATAAATTTGACCTAAGTAATTTTCATGTATTAATTTCTTTTAATTCTACGAACAAGAACAGGTTGATAATGCAGCAATTTTGTTTCCGAGTTCCGACTCTGAAGTACTAGTTTTCAGCAGTGTCAAGAAGAAAATTATTAATTTATTTACATTCATCAATTATTTTAGTTAATATAATTGTAAGAATACTTTTTTCTTCTTAGTATCTCACACAATTTTAAGTATTGATCCTTTTTAATTTCACGAATTTTGAGACCCCCCTTCAAAGCATTTTTGCATTGATTGTTTTTTTTAAGTACAAATTTTCAACTAAAACAAAACACTTTCAAACACAGTTTTCTTAAGAAATTTTCCAGGTGGTTTAATTATCTAATATTAGTATAAAAAATCAAAAGGAAATTTTATTTATTAATTAGGTTTATAACCGTCGTTGAACCACCGACCCAATTTTGGGTTCACGACTACCAATGTTCAACTCCGTAGCCTTGTAATTTTGAACCCAATCCAGAAGACAAGGGAACTCATGGATCAAGTATTGGGAGAAATATTGCCTTCGTGGAGGATTTTTTGAAAGAACTAACTCACATTTGCGTTACATGTTGAGGAAGACCCCGAAAACCTCACACAGTTAGTTTGACGGCAAGGGGACTCTAACCCATGATCCGTCTACCACTGAACATGTTTTTACGTCAGCACTGAGGTCGGTGCAAGCCGGGTGCGGAATTCGTATCGACCAGCCATCGCTGGGATTCGAAACAGGTTTACATCATTGAAAGGCGAACGCTCTACCCCCTGAGCCACAGCGACTCTCATTAATTAGGTTAACAAAATTAGCTCGATAACACGTTAAATCTATTTTCTGCTGAAGCTTTTTTATTCTCTAAAAAAAATGCTACATATATTTTTCTTTAATTCCAAGGACTTAAAGGTCATAAAAGTTTTAGATAAATTGTTATACTTCTTCCGGGAAAACTAATTTTTAGTTTTTAAATTTACTCTTGCTGAAAAAATAAAATGAAATCGACTTTTCTTAGGCGTTAAATATTTTTTATTCTCTTGTGAGTTTAAAACTAAGACAATGGCACAATGCCTCAGATTGCGTGTAGTCTTGCTGATGTAGGGCATCACGTGACTTGTGTCGCGTGATTCAGAATAACAGCTTTAAATTACGGTTTCCTTTCAACCTAAATATGCTTAGTGGGACGCCTATCACATTTATTAGCCAGTTTAAATGAATTTTGTTAATATTTTTTTTTATTGTAGTTCTCATTAAATAGCTCAAAATCGGATAGATTCATTAACTTTTTTCCAAGAAAAACCATTAACATCAGAGTTTAATTTCGAATTGAAAGGTACTACGGGAAAGAATTTTTAATGATCTCAACACCTTTACAAGAACAGTTAAGCTAATTTATCGTTTTTCAATATTTGTTCAGTTATGAATTATAGCAATATTTTTTATAATTTATTTTACATGCGATGCGTTAAATCCAAATCAATCCTATTCTTAACATGTAACGTAATATAGAAACTCTCATAAACTATTAATTATTTGAGAATTATGTTGTTGTTGTTTCTAATGCTAATTGCCAAGATTAGCAAGCCTGCTTGGTGAAACCAAGCTAATTTAAGGCAGAGGGTGCGTTTTTTGTTTTTAAGTGGCGCCATCTATGGCCAAGAATACGACTTCACACACACACACACACGTCACAGCCCATTTATAGGGCGGACTCATTCATACATCCACAGATCGTAATTTTGACCTGAACCAGAGAATGAACAAATGAATACCTCCCCGAGAGGTATTGATTTGTTATGGGAACATGGATGTCTTTGTAACCCGACAGATTTAACGTGCATCAGTTACTACTCGGCCGGCGAGGATCGAACCCCTTGGACATGGACCCAACTTCTTACTAACCTGGCTATTCTTTGAGAATTATAATTTTAGATTATAAATGGCTACTTTTAGAATTACTACTTTGGTGGATATTTTTAGAATCAATACTTTAGATGGATAGTCTTAGAGTCACTAAAGCCCTGAATATGCTTGTTAATTTAGGGGTTTAAGAATCACTACTTTAGATCGGTAATTTAAAAATCACTATTTTAGATGAATATTTTTAGAATCACTACTTTAGATGGGTACTTTTAGATTCATTGCTTTAGATGAATATTTTTAGAGTCACTACTTTAGATGGATATTTTTAGAATAGCTACCTTTGCACTTACCTCTTTGAACCTAGTAGAATCTCTGGTGCCCTGTACCATCTGGTGGCAACATACTCTGTTAGAGTAGGATCAGAAGGACTATCTCCAATTAGTTCCAATGACCGAGCAAGACCGAAATCAGCAAGTTTCAGTTCACATCTATGATTCATCAATACATTTGAAGGCTGTAAATGTTTGAGAAAGTCACTTTTTAAAATCGCATTTTTAATCAATTTATTAAAAGAATAAAAATTATTAATGACAAAATGGCATGAAATTTAGTAATGTTTAACATCAAAATACCAAGCCTTGTTAAAATATTAAATGTTAATATTTATAATTAAATATTAAATAATTAATGTTCATAATTAAATATTAAATAACCAATTAAAATATTAAATTTTTTTATTGCAATGTAGTTTTGGAATCAAGTATTAAGAATAATACAAAAATTCCAATTAAAATCTATCTAACCTTCTAGTTTACTGGATTAAATCTAATATTTATAAGGAAAATAACCCAAGTAATTCTTTTTTATCAAAGATCCCAAATTATGAGGAATTTTGGTACTGATTTAATTTATTTTAAATTTGGTACTGATTTTGTATTATTATTATTATTATTACATTATATTACGAGGAATAGGTGCGGCATTCTTCCCCGTGGATGAATAGAATATTCCATGATTTTTTATCCTTTGTGAAAATGCTTTCTAATATTCATAGTGCAGAGTGGTGTCCCCTTTTCGATTTGTTGAAAAAATTCGCCGTAAGAAATAGAATCAACAGACCAATTCTTATGTCTTCCTTCTAAATCTGCGATCCCATTTTTATCATCTTTAAACTAATAAAATAATAGTTTAGTAAAATGTATTTATTTCTCCGATGTTTATTTTATTGAAATATTTAATAATCCAAAAACTTTATCCCAATTGTCGTCTTACAACATATGAGTTGAATTTATGAGATATTTTATTTATTTTTCAATATTGGTACCAAAGAACCACTCAAATCTAACACCGATACATGGTACAGCTCCCTCCCTGTTACAATTATGTTTATCACCTTGTTCACATTTACCTTGATGTCTCTGTGGATGACATTGGCTGAATGAATATATGCTAGAGCAGATAATAGCTGGAATATAATGAATCCATGCTTCCATTCTTCCCTTAATGTACCCTTCTTAATCAGCTGATGTAGGTCCGTCTCTGTGAATGTTCAGATAAGATTAGAATAAAACCCATAAAATTATGGTTAACCAATAAAATATTTTATAACAGCAATATAGTTTAGTGAGGAAAAAGAGGGTGATCTGCATGACATTAAGTAACAATAGGCATAGCATAAGAGTGACTCAAAATTATGTTTCTAACTTTGATGTAACATATATATAAAATAGAAAGTTCTGTTATTTGTACATGTTCTAAATCTAAACAAATGTTGTTTTCTACGCAAAGATTTTTTTTTCTCGCAATTGTTTGTCATAAAATTCTTCAGTCAGTCTTTGTCTTGTCGCAGTTCGGTGAGATAAATATCACAGTCGAACTTGAAAAACATCCCTCAAATCATTCGTGCTAAGATATCCATACAATAGTCAATTTACACCCAGCATAGCAGAAACATATTTGAGGAACTGCTTGTAAGGTAAACTGTGAGTTTTATCTACCCCGAATTACGTCAGTAAAGGCATAGATTTATCCCCCATATAAAGAACCTAAGCATTTACAAGCAAGTGTGCAGCAAAAAAATAAAAAGTCTTACGTTTAAAAAATTGCTCGACAGTTAAGACTTGTTAGTCCAATAATTATTACAGAAAAAAGTGGGACTTTTCGAGAATTAACTCCCGAGGTATTTTTTGACAAAAAAAACTTTGTTATGTTATTATAAATGATACCTGAAAACTCCCCTCTGTACGTTTTCCCTTTTTTTTTTAGAGAAATGAGAGTGATTAAAGGGGAGAATTGAATTTCTTCTAGACGAGCAAGTGAGGTATTGCTTCCGATATATTGTTTCAAGCTGATTTGAATGAAACTAATCCCGAGACGATCGGAATAATAGTTTAGAAGTTATAAAGGCTTCAAGTACAAATTTGTACTTATACTTATTTACGCATGTGATATTGTTATCTAATCTAGTGAAACATTGTTACCGTGTATTCTTTTACGCTGAGTCAAATGAATTGCAAAAGTTGCAAGCGTATATCAGTATAAAAAGTTCTACTTTTGACGCAACTTATGTATGTACCTTTTTTATTAGAGGCTATCTGAACATGTAAGGTACATTTTTCGAGGAAAATTTTTACACTGGTTTGAATGTGATAAAATTCGAGCTGATAGGATTAATAGTTGTAAAGTTATACAGGTTATCATCATAATAAGTACAATTCAAAAATAGTACTTTCTTTTATACAGAATAAACCTATTTTGACTTTTAAAATAGTAGTCTTTTTGATTCGTGTTTAATTATCGTTAAAAAAAATGAAAAATTACATCGAAAAATAACCTTATATCTTCGGATATTTTCTGGATAGCAATGTTAAAACTGTACATACGTCATGTCAAAAATAGTATTTTATATATATGAAAACGCTTGCAACTTTTAAACTATTTGTTTTATTAACTAGTGTATAAAATCATTCAGTTCAGTTTGGGAAAAATGCATCAGAAACAATGACACATTTGCAATATCAGTTGCGTAAAAAATTCAAATTTGTACTTTTTGTACATAAGACCTTCTATACTATTAGTTCGATTTTATCAGGATTTGTCTCATTCAACTCAGTGTGAAAATTACACCAGAAACAATAGCTGATTTTTTTTTAAAAAATGCAATTCTCCTCCTCAAATTACCCTCATTTCCTACAAAAAAGGGGAAAGCTTACAAAGGAGAGTAAGGGAGTTTGCAGGTAGCAATTTTTCTGCAAATAAAGCTTAATTTTACTGCACTATTTAGTACAAGTTACAAAAATTAACAAGGACTTATTACGTTTACTTCAAAGTTTGAAAGTCTACTTTGAATTGCTCTGTATATTTTGTTGATAGGCACCAAATGCAGATACTTTATGCAATAGTATAATATCTTAATATTTGTTCTGTACGCAAAAATAAATTTATATTTTTCCTTAATTCAGCAATTTTTTTAAGTTGACTTATAGAATTATTTCACATATTTTCAAAACACATAATATCTCTCTCTCTCTCTCTCTCTCTCTCTCTNGGACAAGCGATATCTGAATACTTGATAGTTTAATAATAACTCTAGAAATTAGAACTTATCAGTATTATTCCTAATTCTGTATTATACGCGTGCTTTGTCATATCGTTTAAAAAAAATGTTCATCCTTTTTTTTTATTTCCCTCGTAAAGAAGAGCAAAACCAATACAATCGAAACTAAAAGTTTCGACACCCGGACATCTGTTCAAAGATAAACAGTTACCGGTATGACTTTTACTACTGTTAAAATCATCGGGTGTATCAATAAAAATTCCTTACGTAAGCTGTTCTCAGAATACGAGGGATCTGATAATAAATAACAAAATGCGTTATAAAACAAACTTAACGGAAGTAGATTAATTTAAATGTTAGAGTTGCAGGGCAATATTTAATTTCGCTGAATGTATTTGAATTTCAGTATAATATTTATTTTGAATTTTTGTTTAATATTTAAATAATAAACTGCACATGATGATCTCAAGATTAAATTAAATACTTAAAAGTGTAACAGAACATGATTAATTAAGCATCTTAAAAAATAAGAGAATATTAGAAAGGCAAAGGGTAAAGAGTATTAGAGTGGCAAATGCAATGAAAGGTTGTTGCAATGGAAAATTTTTAATACAACTGACGATGTTTTTTCATGTACGCGCCTCATTTTTTAAATTTTGAAAATTTAATTTCGAGTTATCTATTCTGGAATAAATTTTTTACGAAATAAATTTGTTAAGAATTTATCTTAACTTTTTTGAATTGAAAAAGTCGAACATGGTCGATAAAACCGATAAGTATTAAGTATCTATTTTTTTCTTTTGTTGTTTCAAATTAAAAAATTTTTTAAATTTTTTTTTCGTTCGAATAGATTATTATTCGAAAATAGTATTTATTGAGATTATTTATTTATTTTTTCACTAACTGTAATCCTGAAAATTTGGGAAACAATGAGGAGTAGCTGTCCTCTATTTGTGGATAAGTTTTGAATAGTAAATTTAATAATTTTTTTTACCTACTATACAATCTTAATGTTTAAGTTTTATTAAAGTCTATTACGAATTTATATTAATTTAGACATTTTTAATTTTCTTTATTGATATCAGATGACAAAAATGCTTTTTCAGTAAATGACCCATTAGAATAATAGCAACTGAAGCATGTCTTTATTTTTCCTTATTAACCCTTTGACGCAGACGGGACACAGGTGCCCTTCTATATATATTTTTTGTGGTGCTCTAATAACAAGCAAAATATATTTTGGTTATTTTTTAATTATCAAAAAACATTAAAAAATAGTTACTAAAAAATCAGTTAGATTATCGGAATTATATTTGTACTAAAAAATAAAGTCCAATGAAAGTAGTTCGAAATTTTTTTTTTCTTTTTCATTCATATTCAAATATTTATCAATAATTGGTTTTATAAATTAAATAAATTAATTTCAATGATGAATTACTGTTTCTCTTAGATCTAAATAAGTGCAAATTTGAGAAAATATTGCTTAGAAGTGAGCCGTGTCTCGACGATGATGTAGAAAAAGATGAAGGTTTCGACTTGTGCCACACTCACGCTTTTACAGGGTGGAATTGATTGATTCATAAATCAATTCCTCCATCCGCAGATCGTAATTTTGATCTGAACCAGAGAACGATCAATCTCCAACCCTTTACCCCAGAGGTATAATTTGTTATGGGAACGTGGAGGACTTTGTGATCCGACTGATTTAACATGCAGCAGTTTCCATTTACTACACGGGGAGTCTTTGGCCGGCTGGATTCGAACTCCTGTTCTCACGAACGTGAGTCCAGCACCCTACCAACCTGACTATCCCGGCCTTTATTTCATAACCATAAGTTATTAAATTTCTGAATATAACTTTTTTCACTTATTTTGATCTAAATTAATACAAAACGATGTAAAAAAATTCTGCTTCAAAGGGTAAAGAGCATTAGATAGTTTGACAAAACTATTTTCGATTATATAAATAAAAATATCGCGAAGCTTTATTTAATATAAACATAACAAGAAATTAATTTTTGAATAATCAAAACAATCCTTTAAATGGAAAAAAAAGAAACGCTGTAGTAGTCTATCACCTATTCAGTTTGTTCATGAAACAACTATATAGACATAAAATTCATCTGATAACATAAAATCCAGACGTGTGCGTAATTCATGATGATAATTACGCTCACAGAACAAAAGAGAATATAGAACAGAAAAGAAACACAATAGTTATTCTCTCGAGAAGGAAGTATACTTTAGCAGAGATAATAGTTCCTTTTTTCTATACATATTTACCCATGTAGTGGAATATCAAATAAATGTCTTTGTCATTTCTCGCTTTAACCACTTCCAGTAATGTGATGATGTTGGGATGATTGTGAAATTCTTGAAGGTACCAAATCTCACGAAATGTGCGCTGAAAGAAAAAAAGTATTTTTCAGGTGCTATTTTTTACATTCAATACAATGGATGCTTCACAACATAAATATTGGTCATTTCAATAAAAAAGCATCCAAGTAAAAAACTTTTATAAATTAATAAATAAAAATATTATTGATTGATATATTAAGCCGGAAAATGCAATTAGCAGATCTAATCTCTTTTTTTTTCTTTCTTTTTGAATTTGGAAAGAGCTTTGTAAGCTTTTCAGCAATATAAATTGATTTCAGGATTAAAAACTAATAATCTACATTTTTTTTGTCTTTTTTTTTTTTTTTTTTTTTTTTTTTTTTTTTTGGAAGTCGTTGAGAATTCGGAGATACGTGTGGTTTCTTATGGGGGTGAATTAGTATACGTGTTGCCGCCTCTCGTCAGAGACATTTACTAGCCGGTGATACTGGATTGCTTTAATGGTTTTCTAAAACCTAGTGAACTGCTCTTCTAACATCTTATCCCTTCTTAAATAGTGGTAAACTGCGCTCAAAGCAATAATATCTCAAATTTAATAATGGCATAAAAAGACAATAATATATTTCGATATATTATTCTTGGCCAGTTTCAACCCTTAGCTTGTAGGTTTAACCCTTGTAGATAGTCTCCAGAATAGTTCTAGATTATTATAAATTGCATCCTTGCAGGTGGATGAGAAGAATTAGAAGAGCAACCTATTAATGCTTCCTACAAAAGAGAAGACCTCAGCCAGGGTTACCATAAACAAGAACTTTTATCCTTTAGTAGTCTAAACGTATTACCACCACTGCGCAGCTTAGTATCCCGAACGTAATGACATCTTTCTTATTTTTCACCCACTGCGCAGTTTATGCTCGTTCTGTCGGACTATTAAATCGATCCGTGCTGAGGCTTTCTTTTTTCTGGAGGTTTTGAACCTATTAGAAACGCTATTTACATGCTCATAAGAGTGGGGGTTATAATTGAAGCAATTACTGAGCTCAGTTCACCACTGCCCGTACTAGCACATGAGCAGAATGAAAGTAGGGTATAATTGTTTATCAAAAGTAAGGGAAATTTAAAGTAAAAGGAAAATTTTCAATTGTTAGCCTATACCAATCATATAACAAAGATTTTTTTTCCTAATCATTTCGGAAATTACACGATATTATTAATGGACAATTCAATATTAAAAGTTGACGATAATCTAAAAGTTAGTGAAACAAATTTGAATATTAAAAGGTAGTGATAAATATACGACGTAATACATGTTGTGGTTAGTTTCTCGTTTTAGAGACTTCAACTTAAAAACATATACGTACCGGGAGAATTTTAAACTTAAATTATGCATTTTCAATTATAAATGTTTAGTGATGGAAATGATGGTGTTTTGTGTCTCTAATCCTTTCAGAAAACACTGTCATAATTTTTCTCATTTTCGAAGGATTTTAAAAAATGAAGGGAAAATGCGGCACGTCATTCGCTTGCATAAAAAACAATATAAATTCAATTCTTATCTGAGTCAGTTTTTGGTATCTTTCAATTAGGAAAGTTTTCTTCGTTACAAATTCATTACAATTAATATTTTTCTTTCCGTAAGCAGTAAGAGTACTTAACCATTGATAACCATTTCTTGAACCACCGTAGGTGACCTTGTAAACTTCAATGCGGTAAAACTTTTAAGGTTTCAAAATGAAGTTAGAAAATTGACATTTGAAACATATTTTTGCCCAATCAAAACAATGCAAGTAGCATATGAGTTACTCGTAACAAAACTTCAGGAAATTTTTTTTAACACTAAACACAAAAT